CATATGAGTAATTGATGGTCTGTCCCACGGTCTGCCCCTGGCCTTGTTTTCACTGATGATATGGAGCTTTTCCATCATCTCTTTCCGCAGATGTAGTCAATTTGATTTCTATGTATTCCATCTGGTGAGATCCATGTGTATAGTCATCTCTTATACTGTCTAAAGAAGGTATTTGAAATGAACAAATCATTGGTTTTGCATAATTCTATCATGCATTCTACAGCTTAATAAAATTATTGCTGTTGTTGTTAAGTGCCGTTGAGTCAGTTCTGACTCATGGCAACCATTTATAGGTTTTCCAGGGAGCAGCTGGTTGGTTTGAATCTCCTTCCTTGCAGTTAGCAGTCCAGTGCTTACTCTACAGTGCCATATCAGGACTAGTCAATCTAAAATATGATTAGATTAGCAAGATACTTGAAGAATTCTAAATGTCAAAATTCCGTATAGCTGATTCGTACTTGAAGTCTTCAAACGTCTTGTTTTCTTACTTCCAAAAAATGTCATTATTCTTGACTCTTATTCTAAAATTCTAATAATTTTATTTCTGTGTAAAATTTTTTATGAAGGCCAAATATGGTGATTCATGTATGTGATGAAGCAAAAAACTTGAAAGAAGACTTTATTTGCCCACGAGATCTTTTGGTATCAGAAATGAAGTACTTTGCTGAATATTTATCTATGGATGCACAGCGCTGGGAAGAAGTGGACATTTCCGTTCACTGTGACGTTCACATCTTCAACTGGTTGATACAATATGTTAAGAGGAACACTAAGGAGAATAAAGATTGTGAGACGCCCACTTTAGGTAAAAAGACCATCAATTGCTTATTCTGTAGTAAAATGTATATATTACCCAGTAGTTCCATTAAGCCTAAAATGAAATGTGGAAAATTGTTTGCTCATTAATTTTCTTTTTTTAAAATGTTTTATTGTGAATTATGTGATCGTTTACATGGGAGAACATTAGCTTTACATTTATCCTATCATATATCATTTCATTGCCATGGTTACAATCCCCTGCATGCATCATCAAACAACCAAAGGGTATACCCTACAAGCCTGCCCCCCACTGTCGTCAGCACACAGCCCCTCTCCCTCTCTGGGTCTAAAGCCCCCAGCTGCTCCATCTCTCCATGACATCATCTCTGCCTCCATCTCTGGCATCACTGCTTCTCTGGGTAGGGTCCTGCTCTCCGCTCTTCTCCCTTGATGGTCCCAGGGACCTCTGCTTCTA